AATTGATGTCTGTTCTACATCCTCTCTAAAAATCTACCTAATTGATAAGAAGGTGGCTAGTTCCCAGGTGGAAATTACCTAAGAAACCCATGGGACTTGAGTCTTTTCAACAGAGTTTTTTAAATTGCCCCATAGAACTTGATTTTTTTTTAAAAATTGTCCCTGCTGTAGAATTCTGTGGGTTGATTTAAAAATACAATTTCCTTTGCTACTGTGTTCTGTGGGACTCTTCTCTAATGGGTCGTAGGCTCTGGGTGGATACTCTTGTTCAATATTTTATATTACAGTAATGACCAAAGCCCCCCTCAAGACTGGGTTTCTATTGTGATAGACCCTGGACAAATGTATATGAGAATATATTCCCTTCCCCAAATTGCTCTGGGTATCTGCAGCTTCAAGTCAGCATACTCTATCAAGGATCTGCTGGCTTTTACAGCTCCTCTTTCCATCCACTTATTTCCTGAACTAGGCTAATGTCAGCTACCCAGCTCCCTGCTCTAATTGACACCTTTCTTACCAGTTCTGGGCTGGAGAAGAATCACTTTCATGGCAGTCATCTCTGTAGACCAGATGCTGTATAGCTATTGAGCTGGTGATTCATAGGGGACTTCCTCTTGAATGGCCTGTAACAGAACAATTCCCCCTGGGGGAGAGGGCTGTACAAAGCGACCCTTTAACAACGGGATAGCATTTTAAAAAGCAGGCTGAAGATCTGCTTTGTGATACTAAGACTGCAAGGACCCTTGGTCCATCTCAGGGTCTGGACAACTGTCCTTTAATGAGCAGCATCCCAAAGGCTAGAGCAGTTCAAATAGAACTGAGCTAGTTCTGACCCTGCTGTAGTTCCCATATAGCAGAATGCTTAAGAGACTCGAGGTTGCTGGTGGAGGGCTGGGGCACTTATTTTGGTGCAGTTGTAATCAGAGAAGGGGCTATTAATGGCATTTTCATAACAGATCTGCTTGAGGCGTTGTTGGACTAGCCTGACTCATTAGCTGTGCGGAGTAGTGATGGGTAGCTGAGCTGGAGTCTGTTCTAGCTCACCCATTGTCTGCTTAGTTCTGAGGAAGTTCTGTTGTTGACACTGTGTAAGGACCAAAAGGACACTAATATGGCACCCACACTGGGAGGAAAACCTGGAAACTCGCTGTCACTGTATATACAGACCTAGGTAGACCCACCATCACCTTGTACGTAACAGTGTTGTGGATGGAGCTTGTTTGACTGTCCCATGCTCATGTAGCTTCCCGGGGCCAGGATGTGTAACTCATCAGTAGCGTGGCTGTGACCACTCATTTGCTCCACTCCCACGCCACGCTGTAACACAGCTGGGGTGCGCTCTGATTCCTACACAATCCCCCAGCAAAGTCAGTGTGCTAGCGTGGACAGGCTCTTCCGCGGGGCTCAGCCGCCTGCAGCAGAGAATGCCGTCCTGTGGCAGAGGAAGGTGGTGGTTGGTGTGGATGAGGGGACAGAGCAGATGGGTGAGTAGTAAAACCATGGGCCCCTTGTCAAATGGGTATTTGAAATCCTTGTAAAAAGGAGGCTGGGCATTCAGGCAGCAAAACACCAGGAAGATCAAACTAACCACTCTAAACATGTCAATGTATTATTATTAACCCTGCTCCAGTTTCCTGGAAGGCCTGGGACTAGAAGTGTGAGCACCAGTGCACGGAGAGGGAGCAGATCCCAGCTTGTGGTAGAGGCAGGGCCCCCTCTGCAGTGGGTTTCCAAATTCCCTCTCGAACTCGTGCCTGTCAGAGTTCCCAGGGGTGGCTCAGACCTGCCCCTCCACTCACAGTTCTCCATGCTTTTAAAGGGCGTGGCCAGGGTGACTAAAATACAACCGTTTGAGCTGACTGGGTTTACCTTCAGGAAGAGCCAAGTTTGAGCAGCTGGCTGTTGACAAGCCGATTAGAGTTTGAAGGTGCGTCATTCAAAGGTGCTGGTTAGCGTGTTCTAAAACTGTCAATTTTAACATGC